TACTGTGCTAAACCGTCCATGCTCCCCGCCTTCACCAACCTGCACTGTTTCGTGTGGGGAATTATGGTAAAAAAAATTAACCCGTAAAAACAAAGTTTTTCACTATAAATCCTTTATATGCGTGGCGGCTAGAGTCCTCTCGTCCTCTGTCTTGAGATGGCTGCCACCTATGGGTCAGATAATTGTCTGCCAGTATTAAGCAATTGGTAATTAAATATTTAATTTGTTTTCCCTAAACAGTGTAAAATTTTGGAAAACATTTTTCACAAACATTAATTGTCTCGCACAACGAGTCTGTGTGCAAAATGTCAGCTCGATTGGATCACGGGAAGTGGGTTAAAAAACGACCGAAAGATTTGCACGGTCGTAAGCAAGCAAGCAAGCACGCAAGCAAGCAAGCGAACTTAATATAAAGGATTTAAATAAGTATAACCCGTAAAAACAAAGTTTTTTACTATAAATCCTTTATATGCGTGGCGGCTAGAGTCCTCTCGTCCTCTGTCTTGAGATGGCTGCCACCTATGGGTCAGATAATTGTCTGCCAGTATTAAGCAATTGGTAATTAAATATTTAATTTGTTTTCCCTAAACAGTGTAAAATTTTGGAAAACATTTTTCACGAACATTAATTGTCTCGCACAACGAGTCTGTGTGCAAAATGTCAGCTCGATTGGATCACGGGAAGTGGGTTAAAAAACGACCGAAAGATTTGCACGGTCGTAAGCAAGCAAGCACGCAAGCAAGCAAGCGAACTTAATATAAAGGATTTAAATAAGTATAACCCGTAAAAACAAAGTTTTTTACTATAAATCCTTTATATGCGTGGCGGCTAGAGTCCTCTCGTCCTCTGTCTTGAGATGGCTGCCACCTATGGGTCAGATGATTGTCTGCCAGTATTAAGCAATTGGTAATTAAATATTTAATTTGTTTTCCCTAAACAGTGTAAAATTTTGGAAAACATTTTTCACGAACATTAATTGTCTCGCACAACGAGTCTGTGTGCAAAATGTCAGCTCGATTGGATCACGGGAAGTTGGTTAAAAAACGACCGAAAGATTAGCACGGTCGTAAGCGCGCAAGCAAGCACGCAAGCACGCAAGCACGCAAGCAAGCGAACTTAATATAAAGGATTTAAAAATGTGAACTTCATGGCTTGAAGAGACTCCCATCCAGCAGTGAATTGACAACGGCCTACAAACGTAGGGGTAAATAACTAGAAAACATTTTGTTTTCATGTGAGGCATAATTTTAAAAAGATTGGTTTGTTTATTTGAAATAACACCTTACTTGAATCAACACTTAGACTTGAAGGATTGCAAATGTAGCAACAAAATTTGTTTTAACAGGTGCTACGTGTAATCTGAGTTTTTGCTTTGCACGTAATTTACAAACAAAGCATCGTGATTTAAAACGTGTTTTGTAGCCATCGATATCAGTTTTCACACAATCATCATTTGCATACAACTGGTTTCATTGTATCAGTGCAGCTAATTACGTGATTAAACATTCAATATAAATGCAAATCAAGCAAAAAATTGTGTGCAATTGACTAATAATTTGAGCTAAATTAAAACAGAGAGTGAGGTGCGCTTGCTATAGATGAGGACTTTGATATATTCCGGAATATTAAAGCAATGAACGAACACATACATAAATGAACAAAATAACCAGAGAGCATGTCACTTCTGTGCCAAATGTTTTCATGTATTATCGAACGTTATGAAAAATTTAATGTGCTAAGCATATTACCACTGGTACTGTATGGAGAATTTCTCTGACATCTTGTTGAATTGCTAAGTTCAGAATTCTATTGAAAATTTAACACGTAAGCAGGCTTTCACAACCAAAATTATCCATAATACAGTTTTTTTTGTTAGATCGTTTAAATATAAATGTATCGTTAAATCCGCCACCAGCAGACACAGCCAATTAGTACGGTTTGTCACGTGAACAGAACATGCCAATTCGTTACGAGTACAGCACACCGGTGTGTTGGAATTACCGCAGGGAAGCACGTTCAAATTGTTTATAAGAAAATTAGCCGTCAAGCAATACCCAACGATTTGTATAAGAAAAGCGTTTTTTTTTTACGCGTGACTTATTCGTGCCTGTGTGTTCTTGCCGCGGCTTCGTGTTGCTCAGAGCAAGCCCCGAACCTTGCGTGCATTGCGTTTACGTATCAGACTCCGGCTACGGACAAAAAACTAAATTTTATTTCCATCCTCGGCACCACAACAAAACCCGCCGTTCATTGTGAGTGACGCGAGCACATCCATCCGTAAGAGAGAAGGAAAAAAATAAAACAAATGGCAAGCATTTCAGAATTCAAACATTCTTCTCCAGTCGCATAATGAGGCTCTGCTCTCTCTCTCGGCTTTGGCCGGCTGTGCAAGAGGGACGAGTTGATGGTTTAAAACGCTTCGCGTGACCTCGGCATCAGAAGGGACATTGCGGGTCCACGTGGAGCAATCCAGTTGGGCTCTCAACCGTGACCAACATCTGAGGATGCTGGGGGGGCAGCTCATCTCCGCAAACCTCGACTCGCGCCGCCGGCGAGAGAATATCTTTTCACTCTTCATCCATCTGAATCTAATTTAGTTTAGATTTTTCTAAAGTGGATTTCTTCTTCTTCTCTCTCGTATTCTTTCATTGGACGCGTATGCGCTTGGGTTTGCTGCTGTTCGCTTCCACTGGGCGTTACGTTTTGCGTCGAGATTGTTTGAGGTTTTTGTTGTTGTTGCTTATTTATCGACTTGTTTGTTTTTTTTGCCGCGGAAAAAAGTCGCCGGTGAAGCGGTTATTTCCTTTATTTCGCTTGCAGCACCGTGGACAATTGCCATAAATATGGTCGCATTGATTTTGCCTTGCTTACGTGAAGCCTCACGCCCTGGAGATATCCTCGAAACTATTCTCGTTCAAGTGGTCACATCGGGAAAAGAAACAACAACAAATGTAACATTTAAAATGAATATGTAGGTAAAAAATCGATCGCATGTAATGTTTATGTGCATACATATTGATTTGCTACATTTCAATATTGATTCAAATATGCTTTTTTTAATTAGGTGTAGTGGTGGCACGGTGGTTTATCGTACTGAGCTGTAAACCCAGTGGCCAGAATGATTCTTGGCCAAAATTGACGTCAGATTGAAAACTAATTTCTTTGGAACTGCTTTCTGTGTTTAGTTTGTTGTCCTTCCCCGCACCTCCGATTCGCAAGGTTGGCTGAGTACGGTGCGAAAAAAATTCAATGTACAAATATACATCAGTAATGATGACTATACACTGGTCAACACACTTTTTCTGTCATAAGGTATTCCAACGGTTTTAAGGTAATTTTGGGGTGCTGATTCTAAATCTGGTATCAGTTTTTGTCTATCACATCAGGTTTTTGAGATATTAAATATTGTATTTTCAATAAAAACTGCAGAAGAAAAATATTAAATAAATGTGGATATCTACATAAAATTATATTATAAGACACACTATTCTAAAAATACAGCACCACATTTTAACACTAAAGCAGTCACTGACTCGCAACAACTTGCAATCATAAGTGACAGAGTTAATTTCGGGTACAAATGAGATGTGATAGAGCAAATCTGAGATCAGATTTGGAATCAGCACCCTGAAATTAGTCTAGAACAGCTACTAAAATCCAGGCCAGAAAAAACGTTTTTTTGTTGTTGTTGACCAGTGCTATCTGAAGAGATTCTGCCCCGCCCTCCTCCCCTAAAATCACCACCATCCGATGCTAACCAGCATGGTGAAGTATGGTCAAGCAACCCCCATGACCCAGAGTGGTCTTCAGTATGCTTGGTCAATGCGAGTTGGTGACCCAGTTCTTTATCCACTCGTCACTGATGTCGTTTGTGGCCGAGCATCAACCCCAGGTCACCTGGTTGATGGTGAAATGCGAGAACCAATGTAGCACTGCTCTACTGTCCAGGAGGCTTTAAGAAATGAACGGTCCATCTAGCCCACGAAAATTCCATTGCCGAGGGGTGGCAATTGAAGCAGCCACACGTTTAATATTTAATGCACAAGCATCGTGGTGCATTTACGCACTGCGCTTTGCAAAACAAACTCCACTTAACTCTTATTTAGTGCCGTTTTAATTTTCGTACAATGTGATATTTAGTACGCAACTAGTTGTTAATAGCCAAATTCGTAATGAACCTGCCATAACAGCTCATAGTTCTATTTTATTGAAATCAATAACAGCATTAAAATGATATGGTGCCCGGCCAGAGATTTTAATTCTGGCAGAATTAATGTGTTTACCACTATATAAATATTATCAAACTGTTCGGGAAAAAAAGGAAAACATTTATCCCACCAGGATATACAGCAGCGTGGTGCACATCAATCGACGTGCTGCCCCAACATTACTTCAGACACAAGCAGAAATAATTGGTTACCATGGGAATGCGTTGCATTTCTAGGATGATTTCTTTTTTTTTGCTGAAAGGCTGGGAGAAAATGAATTCTGTCCACCACGGCTGACTCGATGCCCCCCTGGTGAGAGCCTTGTAAGACAACGGCGAGCGCCGGAGATGCTCCCCGAGTTAGCGAAGGCGAGGCGTGTCGAGCCATTATTTACAGCACGAAACTGTTGGCGAGCGGAAGGCTGAGCTGCGTGTCACGTGCCACTCTGGGTGGAGAGGCAAATTGTAGCGATGCCCTGCATCGTCATAGGAAGCCAATGGAGGGTCTCTTAATTTTTTTTCATTTTTTTTCCCGACTGTACTCTCGGCATCGGGTCACGAGACGAGCAATACATTTGGAAAACCCACAAAAAGTAGTGTGCCCCACGTGCCATAACGTGGCTCACATAAGTAGCCTAAATTATATTTTACACAGTATGGGGTGCGGTTTTGCATGAGCTCTGCTCTGAGATTGTGAGATAACAAATAGAGATGATTTAATGCATTCATCAGTGTCGAAGCTGGAATTTAGCCAGTGCAAAATCTCATTGTACATGGTGCTTTGCTTTTGCAGTGGTCGGTGACTGGGCTGACACCATCATCTTGCTGAACTCGAGAACATGGTTTTAAAACCCAGGCGGTCATCCTGATTCGATCGTAATATTTCAGCAGTGCCACCACCGAAGCTCTGAGCCACCCGGGCCACCTCAGGCTGATCGAGGTTGTTTTGGAGGGCCTTTCCCGAGGCTCTGGGCACACAGAGCCGCGCACTCTGTCAGCAAACAAATGCCACGTGAAGAAGACACGCGCCACCACAGGCGCAGAGGAGGCGATCCGCGCAGCAGGCGATGTAATGCAACAACTGTCGACAATCACTCGTCTAACGTGACTTGTTTCCTCCGTAAAGAAATTACTGTACATCCAAGGCGTACGTACACACGGTCGGACCACGTGAACCATGAATTGCTGCAACAACAAAAATACAACAAACGGTTGCGGAGAAGTTATTGCCAAAATTTGCCTCGAATGTAAAATGTGTTTAGGCTCACTGACCCGCAATGATTTCCTATATTTTTTTGATAAAAAAAGGGCAATGGATGTGTAAAGATGCGGGTAGCAGTTTAACACGTAGGCTTTCGCGACCAATATCAACCATAATAAAGGCATTTTTGTGGGGTTAGATCGCGTACATACATAAATGTGTCGTTTAACCCGCCGCCATCCGACACAGTGTTTAAATGCATGCCTGCAAAGGGCACCATACTTCAATAGGGACTACCGTTGGTACGGCTATTTTAATAAACACAATAGACAGGAAGGACAAGATCAATTGGCTCGTATAGTACACATGCATAATGTACGTTGACTCATTAACCCCCCCCCCCCCCCCACTTTGTGCAAGAGTGCAGAAGCGTGGTCACCACATCTACGCCTCTATATAAGGAACGAAACGGGTGGACTTCTCCACATATCTGGCTGTCGCCTGATGAAGCTAGTTGTAATTACTGGCGAAACGTCGCACTCAGATTGTAAATGTTGTGGCTTGGCTCTCCAACACACCGGTGTCGCTGTACTAGTGACGAATTGGCACGTTCTGTTTACGTGAAAAACATTACTAATTGGCTGTGTCGGGTGGTGGCGGGTTTTAACGACACATTTATATATTTACGCGACCTTACTCAAAACAACCTCTATTATGGATGCGGTAGCACTTAATACAATTTGGTGGCCTTGAGAGAAAACATTTTTATTAAACTTTACATTCTGATTGCTGCAGCTGCTGTGTAAGAATCAAACCAATGCCATTGCTGCAAAGGCCTTCTAAAAATGATATAGCCATCGCTATTCAACGCATTTCATGTTTCCATTACTGTACTCATTTTTATATTAAATTAGGTTGGCAAGTGCCCGAAAAATGCATTTGTTTGTTTATTAGCATTGTAATCTTCAACCAAAACAATTGAGCAATTTTCACTGATGCACATTTCATTGAAATGTCTTACATTTGGCAAAAGCACAAACCTCAGCAATCCGCTTGTAATTATTTGCTATTTCCCTGCAGAACCGCAGCCTACATTTCGGCAGACGAGAGCAAATTATCCATCACCTTACTTCATCCTACAACCCTAAGTGCTGCTCGTGCATTCAATTAGGGACACGCGTAGTGCATTTATTTTCTTTGATTTTCTTTCTGCTTTCTGCTCACGGGGGTTTGGCTTCAGGATACAATGAGTCCGTAATCCAGGACAATATTTCACCCCTTCTGACCCAGGCGTCGATGCCTTGCGCAGCGTGCAATTTGCCTCCCTCCCTCCAAATCTCAGAGGCGCGCGTACAAGTTGCCTCTTCCCGTTCGCTGCCGCGTAATAAGGCCCTGAAAGATGGTGCTCTCACAAGGGTTTTGGCCTGGCCCTGGGCTCATCATGGCTAGCGGTCGTGAAGGACTGGAAACGCCGTTGCTGTGTGTGCCCTGGAGATTGGAGGCTTACCTGTTGTAATGGGCATCGCACACTTGAACCATCACGATCTGTCAAGCGCTTGTGTATATTCTTTATATATATACAAAAGTGTTATTACACATCCTCACTCACATCGTATATTGCAACATTTTGCCGTTCCGGGTGGTAGTACCAGGCATCGATGGTACCCGGCACACCGATACTCGTCAGTGCAGGCGAGAGGACAGGGGTGCAGGGGCATTCTCAATGATATAGGCCGCATTGCACCTCGAGTGATGACTTCAGCCCAGCCAGTCTCTTTAAAATCAAGCCGACACTTTTATCACCCTGATTTTATTTATTTTTTTCTGCAGGCGATGGTGGTGCATGCCTGTGGTCCGTCGATGAGGAGACGACTCTTTGGTGGGTCGCAAAAAATAAGTTGCGAAACTCCCCCCTTTCATATTCTTTGATTCTTTCGGTAAAGTCACGTAGGTATAAACTAAAATAAGATAATTCACGACGTTTCGGGCGCAACACAAGTGTCCATCATCAGGTGGGAAAGCATGGTCTGCTGCTGACGCAGACTGTTTTAAAAGGTTTGAAATGGATGTAACTCAAGGGTCATAAAGAAGTGGCCGAGGCTAGTGATGTTAATGTGAGAAATTAGCATGTAGCTGTAAGATAGGAGAACGGCCTCCTCGACGAGGGCACAGAAGTGGCTATGTTAATGTGAGAGATTAGCATTATGTTAATGTGAGAAATTAGCATGTAAAAGTAAGCTATGAGAGCGGCCTCCTAGACGAATTATCTTATATTATTTTCTACCCACGTGACTTTACCGACAGAACCAAAGAGTATGTCGTAGAGGATTTTTTTTCTACCATTCTTTGCCAAGCTGATCAATTCGGGGTTTAGTGAAGGTGTGGGTGCATAGATGTTGGAAGATAGCACAGTGCAAAAATGGATTTCTCTCCATTGTTCTATGCTGACAACGGGGGCCCAGCAGCAGCCTGTGACACCTGCTAGGTCACGTGCTGACGAGCTTGGGCACATCGTGAATGATCCCGTTTTGGAAAAAAAGTGAAAAGGTTTCACTCTTTCTGCCAATTAAAGAGGAGGTGTTGAGATGTTCAAACACCAAATCGAGACCTTTTGCAAGTCATCAAGTCTGCATTAACCACACGTACTTGTGGGTAACATGCAAACACACATCCTCTGATATTGTATGCATTGTCTTTGAACCTGATTGTCCAACACCAGAGACGCCCTCTTTATGGCGGAGTCTCACCAGTGTCAGGCCAGTGAACTCCAAAGGGGAACAGGACAAAGACGATGCACGTATCAGAACATTTAAAATCGGGGTGAGCAGCTATATCATGGGACCATTTTGCCATTATCGAAGTATTCGTATTTTCATACTTTGATACTGGCAAAAAGGTCCCATGATATTTGTTCGTGGTTGTTGCTGCTCTCACCTAACACCACGGGTCTCCCTTGTAATCGGGCAACTGGCTACACGGGATCATCCGTGTGATAAAAAAGTTAAAAGCACACGCTCTGTCATCGCGATGTTACGCGAAACGCTAAAAGCGCAGCCCTAAAATGACTTCCTCACGGCACTGCTGGAAGAGTGGGCCTCCACTCGACGAATGTCAAAAAGTGGTTGGCCCGCTCTCCCATGCTCGTTACACATCTTCGGAGATGTGCGAGTACCCCCACTTTACCCCACCACGTAACGCCTGCCAATCAACTGTTACGTGTTCGACCGGTGCCCTATTCTTGTTGCGTGTGGAGCGCCCGTACCGATGGTCGATGTCATACAGGCACGTAACTGTGCTTTGCGTGACTAAGATCTGAGCGGTGCAACTCCCGTACGGTCGCAGGGCGCTCGTGAAATAGAGCCGAACAGATCATTAAGTACTTCCTGCTGAATACATCTAAAACATCTCCATCTGTTTTGTTTCTTGTTATTTGTGCAGGACTCTCGTGATGGTTTAGCACGTTACGGCCTTGTATACATTGACATTAGCATCATTATTCGGTCGTATTAATTCCTTCCCAAAGGGCTACTTGCGCATTATATTATTCATTCGTCGGTTATAGCTTCGAGACAGAGAATGAAATAAATATGAAAATATATATACATGAAAAATATATATGAAAAAAGATGTTTGAAAAAATACATGAAAAACTATATGTAAAAAATATATATGAAAAAATATATCTGAAAAATATTTATGAAAAAATATACGTGAAAAAATATATGAAGAAATATATGTGCAAAAATATATATGAAAAATATATACAAAAAATATATGTGAAAAATATATATGAAAAATATATGTGAAAAAATATATATGAAAGATGAATGTGAAAAATCTATGTGAAAAAATATATTTGAAAAAATATATGTGAAAAAAATATTTATGAAAAATCAGCACTGCTTTTGCGTTGACGACAGAGGGCCACACGCAGGGACGTCGATGGCAGTCTCCGTCCATGATGACGGTCATCAAGGAGGAGGAATGCGCTCGCGGAGACACCGACCCCGCGGGTTTCACGTTGACCCCTTCATTGGGACGGACTCGCCGAGCCGGAATAAGGCGGGTGGGGTGGGGGAGGTGGAAACGGAAGCCGCTTTGCAACTGCAACTGGAGAGCTCCTCGTTATTCAGAGGCGCCGGGGGGATTAGTTGTGCGCAACGTCTCAATCCCCAGGGCTTCTTTCCGCCAGCTTCAGATGCACTCGGCCACGCGATTCCACGAGTGGATGCCTCCTCTCTCTCGCAAGCCGGAGACCCGTGGCACATTGGAAGGAGTTGAATTCGTGCACACAGAGAATTAAATAACGGCTGGGCCATCTCGGTCAGGTCGCGTTCCCCAACCCTGATTGTTTTCCATAAATCAAGACTCACACTTGACTGGCCTTCCGCCCGGGCCCTTTGGTGACAGGTCCAAGTGGCCTTGGCACGGGTGTCATGGTGACATCACCGCCACTTGATGGTTAATGTAATTGTTGCATGTGTTTGTGCGTGCGTGAGATTTGATAATTGCTGCTCACTCAGAGGAGGAGTTGGAGGCGCTGCTGCTGAACCTGGAGCTCGCCACCAAGAGGTGGGGCCTTATCATCAGCCCCACCAAAACTAAGCACCTGCCTGGGTATTTTGCACCATTGGACACTCCACCTCCACAACTCCAAATTGGTGATAGGGCAGTTGTGGAGAGAGTGGAGAGTTTCCCATACCTTGGCAGTGTGCTCATGACCGGCTCCGGTTTAACAGCAAAGGTCTCACTCCTAATAGGTCGAGCGGCATTATCTTTTCATTGGTTGCGTAACGCTGTGTGGAAGCTACCTGGTCTATCACTCCGCACGAAACTTCAGGTCCTCTCTCGGCCACGGTCATTCCCTCCCTTCTCTATGCTTGCGAAATGTGGACCCCCCTAATGGAACATCTTCGCCGGTTAGAAACATTTAGGCTGGCCTGCCTACGATCCATCCTGGGTTTAACCAGCCTGGAATGTGTGAGGAGCTCACAAATCCTTGAAAGATGTGGACAAAGTCCCATCAGTGAGCTCCTCCGGCAGGCAAGGCTGCGTTGGCTGGGTCACGTAGCCCATATGCCCAGCCACCGCATGCCTAAACAGCTTTGTTCGACCGGATCGAGGGGGCTAAATGGGCACGGCACGGGCTAGAGAAGAGATGGAGTGATGTGGTACGGGAGAACGTGGAGCTGAGTGGACTTGCCGATGACTAATACCAGCGGTGTCAAGATCGGCCTCTGTGGAGGAGGCTCGTGAAGGACCCTACTGGGCAGTTGGAGGCAGTCGCCCTCCAACAACAACGGAGGGCGGTGGAGCGACGCTCACAACAACGAGCGGAGCGCCGGGTGGCAAAAGCACAACAAGTTGGCACAGTAGGGGGCACAGGTGGTGCATCAGCCAGTCGTCTCAGTCAGTTGATCTATGGCATCTGGGTCTGCCCCATGCCTGCCAGCGGGCGTTCGACACTTCACGTGGCCTCAAGGTGCACATAGCCTGGCAAAAGCGTCGTGGTGACGTCACCACCACTTCGTGGAAAATGGCGATTGTTGTTGTGCATGAGTATATCCTCTATCTAAATAATTATCTGAACCGGTCCTGTGCCTCTCCTAGGTCGACTCAGCCTCAAATGACTACCTGGTGCAACGTGTAAACATCACCACTGAGGAGGCAAAGGCGGCCGGGGGTGGTGCTGGCTACCCAGCCCCTCGTATGTCGTTCCGGCCTTCATAGGTGCTCACTTACAACACTTACCCAAACAGTCTGTTCAGGCTATACGGGGAATCTTTGTCTTTGTTTTATACTCTCTGATTCCCGGACACGGCTAACATCAGTGGCGAGTGCTACCCCCCCCCCCCAACCCCGCCACTTCACCCACCACTGACTATAGTGGGTGAAGTATAGTCAAGTCGCCCCCCATGACTGGCACGGAGTAAGGAGGTGGTCGTGTGTACGTGCGTGGTAATTAAAGTAATCAAAGTGTTGCTTAAAGTGTTGCTGAACGTGTTGTTTAAAATGCACGTGGGCGCATGCCGTCTCAGCGTGGAAGAGTAGGCCAAAATACTCCCCAGAGGAACTCCCTCGGGCTTTTTTATTGAGGCTATAATAAACAACAAAACTCAACGTGTTCGTCAAGAACAATGTGGCCTTAATCGGAAGAGAAAAAAAACCACCTATAATAGGCAATGGCTCTTGATGGGAAAAAAATGCCTCATCTTCTTGTGCTATGAAGAAGGGCCGCCGTTATTGACGAATGTATTTGAGGTTTTTGTTTTTGGTTTCAATACGTGGCCTAGTGCACCATCGCCGACGTTACGACAGCATCACCAGACGATAATCCCTCTTCGTGTGGAGGCCTTTCCAACAGCGCAGCACAACAATGGCAAACGCTCGTGTCTGCTGCAAGCCCTAAGACTCTGGATAATGCAGCCATGTAAGATGTGGGTTGGGGGTCCGGCCGTATATATTCAAGCGCTGTGCATTGCAAATTCCTTCGCTGCCCCCTCCTCCTCCTCCTAACCGCCCGCTGCTGCTGTTGATGTCATCGTTGTAACTACACCTCGACGCATTCATCTTCCCAGGTCGCCGCAGATTGTGCATGTGCGATGCTGCCTGCCCGTGTGATTATTCATCGCGATTTGTATAATGTTCACCGCGGGAGGGCCCACTGGCTACCTAGTTGGAAGTGATGAATCCACCATCCCCTCTCCGCTTTATTGGGGTGCGTTTGTGTCAGGGTGAGAGCGGTGGCGCAATGATTGGTGCACTCCATTAAAAACCCAGAGGCGATTAGTTTGAATAATCTCCACCGCAGCTCATACAGTCATCAGTGGTGATGATCTGAAGCGATTCTTCCCCCCCCCCCCTACTAGGTTGACTGAAAAGAGTACGTGGGTGTGGTGGATAAACATCAGTGCTGGGGAGACAAAGGCGAGTGGCTTTTGCGTGGGGCTGACTAGACCAGATCCTTGTGCGTGTGCCAGCTTTAATAGGCGCTCACTAACAGCGGCTGCCCCGTCGGTCTACACCGCCATGCGATGGGATCTCGCGTCTTGTACAAGTTGCTGAAAATGTGTCGTATAACCGTTGCAGAAACCATTGGGCCACTGCTCTGCCAACACATGCACGTTGACACAAACACACACCTATACTCTTGCATACAGAAGGTAGATATTGCTCCTCCGGTCCGTAAATGTATTTATAGAGACCAATGTTTGATGCTGTTCATTTTGGTAGAGACCTAAATCTACGTGCCACCTAACGGGAAACAATAAGACACTCGACTGCATTATTTAACAAAAACTGACCATAAATCATGCAGTATTTACATATATTGTTGAAAGTGAACTCAGTGTTGCTTCCAACCTACTCTGATGGCACTGTTGCGGGCAACAACGCGTGTGGATCTTGCATGAGCATACTCTGGATCTAGCGGTGTAGTTGTATAAATTATGTTGCACTTGTAAATCATTTAAAGCTGTGGCGAAGAAAATAAAACATCCTGGGTTTTGTTTTTTCACTCAATTATATTTGAAATGGCATGCAACATATCAGTGAAATTAACAAGATAATTTTGATATTTTAATTATACCAATTAAAAGACCCTAGTTTTCTCTTTACCAAGTACACAAAGCGTAAATTGATCAAGTTTTATTTTGCTGCATTGTAATTTTTTTTTTGGCTCCGCATTTTCTGAAAGTTTTTTTTAATAGCCAAAGAATCACGATTTGTTTTTTACACATTTGGTCAATAATGCCGCGTAATGGGCGCAATGAATGCACAAGCTTTAAACTCTTTGTCAGTCTCCACTGCTAATGGGCGCTGCTCTAAAAAGACTTGTGACTTTAATGACTTGGCGATAATTTACCTCCATGCCCGCTTGCTATTTACCATCGATGTCATCAACGCGCATTTATTTTCATCCACCACGTGCCACGTTGATGGCCGTCTGCTTTTCCATGCCTTACGCATCTGCCACGGAGCTGTAAAAAAGAATTGATGTGACTCGTTCGCTGGCCATTGACATCCTGTAATGTTTATTTTCCCAGGCGGCCGACCAATTTTTCTTTTTAACTTTTTTTTAATGTATATAACGCAGCATGCACACAGATTAAATGGTATCCAGATCACCGGCTGCGATACGTGCTCACACCTGTAAGAAGCCGTGCGTTGCCGAACATGGGTTAGTACGAAACGTAAATCAACAACAACAAAAAGTCCGTTAATAATTGAGATCGACGCCGTACTTTGACGACGAGAGTTTGACTTGACGTTATTTTATTCTGTCGTGGGTCCACAACAGACAGAGGGCCTCGGTTTTCCATGCATACTATGCAAGTTTGGATCGTCGCTTGGGATTTACAACGTGCAAGTTCGGTTATCTCCCTTGGAAAATGAGACTGCTAGTTTCAAAATGGTAATAATAATGATGATGATCAAATTCAGCCCTTTGTAAGTCCGCTGCAGTGTAGCTCGTTGTTTGACCGTTATTTCACCACACCGGGCGTTGGAACAAATCATAGACGTTGTAACATAGAAGCAGAGTTCAACAAAGGATATTGCTACACCGTCCTCTGCTGCCCACAATGTAGCGCCACAATCTCTATGTCT